CCCCAAAACCCCAAAACCCCAAAACCCCAAAACCCCATAAAGCCAGTGCCTGATAATGTATAATAAATTAATGTTAAATAACAGTAAAGAAGAAACCAAGCAAGGGACTTCCTTGACTAAAGATTTCAGTAAGTTTTTGCTAAGATGGCTTCTAATTTATAGACTTACTCTCTCCTGCCTCTAGAATCGTTGCAGTAAGTCATCTTGATGACTGTTTAGCTCCAATTGGTTAACTCTTACAGACTTTCCTTACATCAGCTGATGTATAGAGGAATTGAGAAATTCAGTACGAATGAGAGGCTACTGACAATCTATGCTCTTTCTCTCTTGAAGCCTGAAGTTGCTGAGTATAGAAATGGAATCCTTCTCAATCCTAACAATTTGCTAGTCAACTCCAGAGATAACCTCAGTTCTGCCACGTGAGTGAGAACTGAGACTTTGAAGAATGGAAAAGTTGAAGAGACGAAAGAGAAGCTGGAGCAGGATCTTGAGTTGGAAAAAGAGTCTATCCTTGTCAAGTCTCTCCCTACTGGCCATTTCTCACTGAATAATGGGCATCCCAAGGTCTTTCTGAGATTAGAGAAAGAGAAGACCTGCTTCATGATGATAAAGAGTCATTCAGTCTATGATGTTGTTGCTGGACTTCAGAATGGCATTTGGAGTTCAACAATCAAAGGAAATGACACACTAAGAGATGCTTATGAAGAGTTTGTAGTCAACAGAAAGGGCCATGTCTACTTATTCTTCAGTGTCAACAAGAGTGGCCATCTCAGTGCAATTGGAGAGCTAGTATCCAACCAGATTCAGGAGATGCCGGATATCTGGCTTGAAAAACAAAAGTACTCCAGTTGCTTCTTGATCAGGTTTATCTTAGTCAAAAATGTTCCCATGAAGCTCTTCTCTCACCTGAACAATGGTAGAGATGTCCCACTTAGAAGAAGCAGGGATACTGATAGGATTGGGTATGATGAAGGCCTGTTCATCATGAAGAACTTTATCAATCATAATACTTCTTCAAGTATCTTGTTTGACTGCAATCTGCTGAATCAATATTCTTCGGAAGAGCAAAAGAAAAGTGAAGAGGATCCTAAGGTACTTAAAGTTATCAAGAATAAGAACCTGAACCAGCTGACACCTCTAAAGACCATGAAGCCGTTGAGCAGTTCTAGCCCAGCATATTCTCCTCCAAGTTCAAAGTCAACGCAGAAAGTTGTCTCAAAGCCACCTGCTAAAGATGTTCAGCATAACTTAGTGAGAACTTATAGACCAGTTGAGATGCTTCAGGAGCTACCTGCTAGACCTCAGTAAGTTATGGAATGCTAACATTTAGAGCTAGAAAGATCAGCAACGAAAAGAGCATGTTCTCCTATGGATACTACTCTGAAAGATCCTTCTTCGGTATTTACAGTGGTTAATGCTTCAATTTACTGAAATATAAAGGGGTTTTGGGGTTTTGGGGTTTTGGGGTTTTGGGG